TCCCCATGACGGATGATGAAGAATTGATTGACTGACGGGAGGGAGGGCAAGGGGAGGGGATCTGCAAAAAAAAAAAAAAACACACACCAAAGGACCTCACATATTATGCTTTGGTATTTTGGGCAACAAGCTTTCCCCCTATTTGAACTCGCTGTAGATCCCGATCTGACAGTTGATTCTGTTTCATGACAAGTTTGCCACTTGACTCCTAGTTTACCATTGTGCCATCGACTCTATCGTGAGATGGAAATGGGGAAAAAAGAGGCAACCATTGATCAGATCGGACGGCAACTGTGTGTGGTACCAAAATGGTTCGCAAAATGGTGAATATGTGGCATATAGACAGAGGGGGATAACACATGTGCGATGGTTCTAGGACTTTCTGTCTCGGTCGTGACACAGTAGATAGACCGCGAACCACAAAACAACCACTTCCATGAGTGATTCTTCTGCCTTGTTGATTGTGTATCGTATCGTTATGTGTTCAGTCAGAGAAGGCATCCAAGTTACATCCGTTTTCGATCCCTAGAACACTGTGTATCCTCCTGTCCTTTGGACCTTTATTTATTTATCTGCATGTCGCACAGGATAGTTTGGAGTTCTTTACTTTGTGTCGTACGGCAATATCTCCATGTTTCACTGCATGTTTATGGGTGCATTGGGATCAGTCAAGGGATCAATACATCTTGCGACGGCCCATTCTCACATTGGCGTAACATGATGTGCCTCGTTCCATGTTCAACAGCAACCCGGCTTCCGCCGACACCAACTTGAAGCTAGCAGGACCGGATCCGAAAGCCTACAAAGAATGAGTCTGGGGTAGCCTCGAGATGGCATGTTGGTTTGGTGTTTAGGTGAGAAGAAGATGAAATTGCGGGCTCTGAGTATGGGGGAGGGCGAGCGGGGAAGCAGACGGTATTCCCAGCAGGCATTTCATGGTCCATGCCTGTACTTCCATAGGTGTCAACCAACGTCTTATGCCGTCTGTAATCCAGCCATTCATGTGGGTTACCGTAAAAGGAGGGGGTAAGGTTCAAGCCACCATCCTGCTGGTCCTACGGTACATGGGAATCGACTACCACCCCTTGTTATCTCACATCCCTTTCTTCCAGGTGAGGTACTTTGCATGTGGCCATCCGTTGCGGGGAATGGACAGACTTGGTTCAAATGGACAGATCGGAAGTGCCGGGCATAAAAAGTGAATGGCCCCGACAACGGTTCGATCATGACGCCAAGATGGGCCGTTTGAAGGATAAAACAATGAATGATATCAAGCCTCTGTGTTTCCCCAGATGCAGGTAATTTATTCGTGTCCCTCGCAGCCCTACGGTATACCTGTATCGACGTCTGTGTCTCAGATGTTTTTTTGGGGGTAGTACCAACTTCGCCACTCCTATGATGGGTGAGAAGCTGTTTCTCGTACGGATCCATCGGTCGAGACTATTCATTGGATGGACGCGCAGGAAGACCACAGGCTTGGCTCGGACAAGATCCACGTATACTTGGCAGATGGATGGAGCTACTGCACGGCGTGCATATGGTAGTGTAGGGTGCATGCAACCCCGAACATCTCTTGTCGCAGTTGAGATAGACGATGGATGGCTTCTGTCTTTGGCAGAGGGAAGGGTGTGTGTGTAAGTGGGGGGGGACGACCGGAATAAGTCTCCGTGATGGTTACAGTCGATTTGCAGCGGGGTACTTGTAAATTAAAGAAGGGGTCCTGCGGGAGAGACGAAAGTGGCGGATTTGTTATATAAACGATGTTGATGAGCAAACGGTAAATTCCACACTCACATGCTGTGTTGTGTGGAAAAAGGAATTGTGCACGAGAAAAGTACCCCGCAAATCATTCGATTTGGCAAAGGTGGCATAAGTGGAGAACCGTGACGTCGAGACACACTCTAAATTGTTAGTTCCGGGGTCGCTCCCCTGGGAGACTGGGGAAACATCCCCAGACTAACGGTCGACCTGCAGATTCTATTGGCTAATTTCTCCAGCTCTTCTCCACTGTTCAATCTGGTAGCCAATGAGATGATCCAATGTGTGATAGAATGCTGATAGCGGCGTCTGTGCTGTTCGGACAACTGATCGGCGCGGGCCCCCCCAAAGTCTGCCAGCAGCACGCGACGCTAGCAGCAATTGGGAGGGGTGTTGAGGAGCGAAGAAAGGATTGACCGAAAAAGACGAGACGTACTTTCCTCCCTTCTCTCGACATCAATCCTTTTTTTTTCTTCTTATAATTTTCATCTTTCATTTTTTCCCTTCTCTTTTCAAACCAATCGAGTCAGTCCCACCGTCACAGAACCAGGCAGATAACACCCCGCTCATCAGTCCGGCCCTTCCCTTACACAACAAAGAAAGGACCCTTTTCCTGCGAAATCGAACGAGTCGCCGTCGATCCCGTTTTGGCTTTTTTTTCTCACAAAGAAAAATCCCATCATTTTCATCCCTGGAGTCTCACTGCCTAAAGTTACACTACTCTCGTCATTCGACCTCCCCACACGACTTTCCTATCAGCGTTTCACCTCCACTTCATCAAGCCGCCGGTGTACGTCAAACTCGAACCACCCCAATAAACCAAACATACGAGTCGGGAGTTGCTTTTCAACCCACCCCTGTGCCTTGCACGAGAGCGTCATCGGATTTTCACAAACCTCGATATAAACTTCATTCACTTCCGCCCTTTTTTTCTTCTTCTTCTCCTCCTTCTCTTTCACCATGGCCTCAGACAGCTCATCCCCCACAAACAACACCAATTCCAACGATATGTCACGGCAACAGAGACGCGGGTCTGTGGCCTCAACCCCCCTGACCAATCTCTTCCGGAGCAACTCCATCTCGCAACCTGCTGTGACAGGCTTCCCTATTCCCATCCCGACGGCAGGCATGGACCAACGTCGACGGCTTTCAGTCTCCACCTTTGGTTTATCCGGCACATCTCCCACCACACCCTCATCCATCCTTCGTCGGGCCAGCCTTTCCACCAATGACTCAATCGATGAGAGTGCCATTGAGGATGACGATGCACGCACTACTCCCAGCACTTCTTTTACTCGTCGCATGAGCTTTGGTACCAGCCAGGCCGCCATGCGAGGCGGTGTTCGTGGGGGCGTGAGCCCTGGTACAACCGGTAAGGAGCCCCAAACCTCGACTACGCCCGGAACTCGTTCTGACTTGTGCTCTCCCCGGTCAGATCAAGGATTCAACTGGTCCGAACAGCTTAGGTCCCGCGCCGAAAGCACCGTCGCCCAGAGCGCCCGCCCTTCATTCTCTTTTGCCTCCGGTCTGAGCGCCTCTCCTCCTCGCGGAGTGCCACCTACAGCCAACCCTTCTTTCAGCCCTCGCCATGACCGAGCCAAGTCGGTTTCGGATATGCCAGCACCTCCCGCTCAACAACCTCCAAGAGCCCGCGTACCACAGAAGCCTGATCACTTCCAGGAGCGCATCCTCAAGGGCGATTTTTACATGGATTGAGGCTATCCATTAGATATTTTCAAATTCTTTTCTCTGCAAATTATTCAACAAAGGTCAGTTTCCTTGGGTTGCTAGTCACTTTGGGTCCGAATTGGGAGGGATGAGTATTGTCAAAGGATAAAATCATCTACACATGTATCGGGAATTTCTGGCGTTTTTTTTTTTTTTTTGGGGGGGGGGGGGGGATACGGAAGGGGAACAGGAGTAAAGGGTTCAAGTGGGGCAAAGGACTTTAAGGCTTTTGACTCTTTTTCTGCGTTTCATATCTGGAGCTGTGTCCAGCTGGGCTGAGGGCTCTGTTTCAACGGTTTTTTTGTTACAATCCCAAAAGCAAGCCACGGTTTCTGTTTTTTTTTTTTTTATTGAGGTCACACAAGGCAATCGGCATGGGACGCAAAGTCAACTGTGCAGGGAGAGCAAGCGAGCAAATGGAATATGATTATGAAACATACAAGGAACAAGACTGCAAAATGGCTTTCTTTGGGGGGGGGGGGGGATTTGTAACGGTTTCAAGGACAATTCTTTGCATTGTGTTGAGGAATCACACACTCAGAATGTATGATTAGTTTTTTTTTTCTCAGATTGTTGGATGTGAATATCAACAATCATGAACAGGACTACAATTATGATACATAAAATGGGCATTAACCTGGCACCAGGGTTGGGCTTCCCGGTATGGCACAGGTTTTTTACTCATCTTATTGAACTGTTTGTCGGGTACGATTCATGTTGTCCTCGTGGTCATCCTCAACATCACCCTTCTCTTTGTTCCTTTCGAGCCGTGTTTCTTAGCGCCGAGCGACCTACTTTAGTCTGTTTCTCTTTACCATGTCAATGGGATTTTAGTTCCCGCTGCCTCCTTTTGTCCCTTTTTGGTACTAGTCCTACGTCGTTTCTCGAGAAACAAAGAAAGCTATATTCTTCTCGGTGAGTTATTAAGCTAAGAAGAACTAGGGTTCCCGTACGGTGATCGCTATTTATAGCATTATCAATCATCATTTGGTTTCCCGTCGGATCCCAAAAACGTCAGAGATGAAAGAGGAAGTTGTGTTATACTTACCTTTTCTAACCTTGCCTTTTTGTTTGTCCTTTACTTTTCAAAGATGATGAAAGTTGAGCAAGTTATGGTTTGGCTAGGTCATCCGATGACTCTTTCGTGAACCAAGAGGTGTAGGAATATTGGGGAGGGCTTGAATTCCTCTTTGCTTGCCTGTTGATGATAGCTTGCTGTTTTTCTATATCCTGTATATCATTCTTGGGAGTCTTGTTGGTTTGGGAATGACTTGATTTTGACATTTCTTTGGGGGAAAAGTGTGACACGTTGATGTGTTGGGCGTTACTATCATCACTGTAGCCTTTCTGATCAGGCACCCCTTGGTGTATCTGATGATGGCTCTGGGAATCTGATATCATCAAGAAGCTACTCAAGTCATAAAATTCACCACAACCACTCTTCCCACAGCCTCTTCCACCCACCATCCACATCCCCCAGGCCTATTTAGATTCCAGAATCCGGTTTGGATTTCGTCCCTGTAGCTTAATGGTCAGCGTTTGGTGCTTTATCTTCAGCGTTTGATTTTCCCAGCGAATAGAGTTAAGGTAGCGAAAGACGTCGGTTCGAACCCGACCGGGGACACTTGTTTTTTCTTTTATTTTTTACTGATCTGCTAAATACACCTCTAGGCACCCAAGTCCTCTGTTTTCAATAGCAGCTACATGTTATTATGGTCCAAGGTAAGTACAAACACCCTCTCAACTTGTCAAGAAAGTATGATGGAAAAGAAGTTGGGTTACTCGTTCTTGTCAAGATGAAGCGATTCCCTACTATAAATCACGATTACACTTCTACCTCCACGAGCAGCTCCAGAGCTGTCAACGTGGGATGAGTAGCGGATCTTCTCTTCCTAACACAAAGAAAACATGCCCGTCAAAACTGAGAGGGAGCTAGTGTGAGTTCCAAACTAAACTCTACATCCCAACAACAACAACTTGCCTTATCTGAACAAAGAAATCCATGCCAAGGGTAAAACACACGCATGACGCGAGATGCCATGTATTTTGACGGATTCTCCATCATACTCAACAATCAAAGAACAGGGAGTACAATTTGGACAAGAGGGACATCCACAGTTTGTTAGATAGTCCCGCGGGCAAGGAAAATCACAAGGAAGAAATATCATAATCTACCGGTTCTGATATAGCTAAAGGGGAGAGGAGAGTAGTTTTAATATGAACAAGCTGCGATAATTTATATACCGTGATGATCCTCTATCAACATGCTGAAGAAGAGCCACAGAAATAAGATCATGATCATGCATGTCCTTTAGCAAGTCTAAGTGCCGCCATATCATTTTGAATAAACGGTACGATAGCTCTCTTATCTATAGACAAAGAAAGGGGTGTATATGTTTAACTCAGAACGTACAGAATTAAACAACATAAGATTCAATGTGTAGAATTTGGTTCTACTGTTTCAAGACATCATCCGTTTCTTCTCGGAGGAGAGAGACCAGTCTGCTACAAGAGAGCTAGATGGTTAAGGTCTCAATATATCTTCATAGATACTCATAAGAGCGATATGTGAGAGAGACAGAGCTACCATTCACTAAGCCCGAGTCTCAGTATCAATATGTCGGTAAGGGGGAGAACGCGTCAACTACTCACCGATCAACCAGTTTTGGATACAACCGAGTGCGAGAAAAGTGAATGTGAAAAAGTACCCAGCCAATATATAGGTTAGTGCTGTCGCAACTCGATGTAATCATCCAAAACATCTCATCAAGAGACAGAAGAAAACAAGTCTTTCAACTTCTTTCATTATCAAACACAACCTGGGCTTATTTGATCTCATATTGCCTCATTTTAATAACCATTAGTTACTCCTCCAGACAATTCTGTATTAAAGAATAAGCAAGAATAAACTATCGAAGGACCTAGGAACTCATATTTAGACAAACAGGGAGCGACTTAAATATTGGTTAAAAAAAGCAAAAAGAGCAAAAAGACAAAGAAAGGGGGAAAAGAGGAAAAGGGGAAAATGTATATACAACCAACCAGGATTCCAAGTGATTGATCATTTGCCGACATATATCTTCATGCCACTATTGCCTTGATTATGAGGGCTCAAGTGTGCCTGAGAAGGGTTGATAGTCTGCCAGAAAGGTATTAATGAATGAGAAAAAGTCGTTTTTATATCAACGAAGACTGCAATATGCAACCGGCGTCCTCCTTCCAAAGGCCGACTTACCACAAGCTTACGAGTTGAGAAGCGAGAAAGAAGGGCTAGGTTACTGGATAGAAGTTGTGTTCAAGATGAAGATCCGGCAACCAGCGAACTACCTTTACAATATTTGTCGAACCATTGAACAACGGTGGTCTTTGTCCGAAATTAACACACCGCGTTATGAGGAGCGCTTCGCCTGAGGAAGTAAAGAGGTAGTCAGGAGTGCTACTTTAGTAAAGAGCTCTGGCAATGCTCGCAAAGAGAATCGTCAAATGTGCAATGATTTATTTGGTGCTGCTACTGGCTCTGAACTCAACTGCTACAGAAGAGAAATGGAGTCACACTTCCTTGAGTCTCTGACCTGGTCAGAGTTTCGATAGGAGACAACGAGCAAGTGAAGATGGACAACTTAAGAAAATTGATGTACTAACAGCTTACAGCTAGGTAACTGCAAGCAAGAGAAAGTGAACAAGTAAATGGGGATGACAGCTGTTAGCAATTTCTTGAACGTGTTTACACGCAAGTGACAGTAAGCAATTTATATGCTGTGGTCTCTTTTATGCACTTTCTCTCCCACTGCTACTGACAGCAAGAAGTAAAAACGATAGAAAACAAGTGGCAGTAGCAAGTGTACCAAGATAAAGAGTTGTGGCAGATGACAGTAATAAGATAATAGTAAGTAATTGACCACAACGAGTAAGTGACGGCGAATTGGTGTCAATCAGTAAGTGGCATATCTATCATTATTACTTCCTTGCATGCAGTGACATCCTTCCTGTACTCAGTGGTTGACTGCCACTGCTGTTGCGACTGCTGTTGCGACTGCTGTCACTACTGCGACTGCCAGTTATGCTAGCAAGCAAATGACGGAAAGCAAGTGATAGCAAACAAAAGACAAGAGGCAATGGAAGTAATGGCAAGTTTGTGATGACAAGTAACTGCGACAGTGCTCAATGCACAAATTGACACAAGCAAAAAGGTGCAAGTGCTAAAGTGCAAATAAGTGAATGCAAATGGAAAGCAACTATCCATGACAGTCCTTGTGGCAGAACCAAATGGGCAACTGCCAAAACAAAAGTGACTGCAAGCGACAGAAAAATTGGAAGTGACGGCAGCTGTGTAAGTGCCCAAGAACAAACAAGACAAACAAAGGTGAAAGCGCTCAAGTGAAAATGACAGCAGGTGACTGACTGTAAGCAGGAAGTCGCTACAACCGTTGCAACCAGTGCATCCCTAGTGGTGGCAAGCAAGCGGGTGTAGCTGCCCAAGAAGAAGTGACCCCTGGGTTGCAAAGGACAGTAGGTAAACAATGGAAGTGACAACAACTGCGCAAGTGCCTACACCCGAGTGATGCGAGTAAATGGGTGCAACTGCTTAAACAGAAGTGACTGCGAGCAATTGAAAGAAGTGAACTAGCGCCAAAGCAAAGGAAAGTGATCAGGATTTGGCTGCAACTTACTCGCTGGCGGAGCTCGAGAAATGCCCACAGGTTGATGTGTGGAAAAAGGAAGAACCACCACCACCACAAGTAACATTGCATAAAGTTGAGAAAAAAAATCTGAAACAAAGTCAACGTGCAATATCAAAAATGCAAAGAGATTTCTGGAAACTTGTGTGAACTTGCAAAGTGGTAGTTGCTCTTGTTGGTGCCCAGCACGAACAGTTTGCCCAAGGCATGAATCCAAATTGAGCCAAGGTATCTGATTTTCTTAGATGTTAATGAGGCATGTAGAACGATCTGTTTTTGGCGGTAAAAAATTGAGTTGCCTAACAGCCAAGGGAAAGATGAGTGAGCTTGAAAAGTGGCGGCTGCCCTTGGGTGTCCAATCAGTTTGGATCTCATAGATTCGCCCAAGGAATGGATCCAACCCGAGGAAAGGTACCAAGCTCTCCTTGCTGGTACTGAGGCATGTAGAACGATCCGTTTTTGGCTGTAAAAATCAGAGTTTCTTAACAGCAGAGGACAAGCGGTACAAATCGAGGGCTATGGATCCCAGGCCGGCAACAACGGAAGGAGATCTCAGAGTCAATGACGTCTATCAGCGGAAATCGGCACCGAATCGGCGATAAGCGAGATTTGTATGACCATGTTGAGGAAGGAGAGAGGTTGTTGTTGATGCCTGATGAAGTTGAGTCTCGACCAAAAGGTTTGCAGGTTTGCAGTGTCTTTCTCCCCAGGAGAATTGCACGGAATCAAGTGAACTCAACCTTCAAGGCGCCGAGCGGCCAGGTCATTGCTTTTTGTTGAGAATAATATGAAATAACAAGGCTGGTGATCCGCATTGACATGACATGCACAGCCAGGAAGGGTTGAGAGGACGGGGAAGGAACCAAATCGACGTGAAAAGAGGTATAAAAGAGGTATCTCGGCTGAAATTCGGCAATCGGTATTCGGAGGTTAGCTAATACCGAGAAGAACTGAAAAGAAGTCGTGGGTGTTGAGGGAAGTTGTTTGTGGTGTTGCTGCGGAAGGTTAAAAAAAGGAGGTTACCGAATCAACAAACTTTGCCAAGACCAAAACACAGAAAAAGGGGTACAGTGAAAGCCGCACCCACCACTCACCCTCCTACTGAAACCGATGTATCTGTAACTCATTAGTATTCATATTGTTGTTTTCATGCTTGTTGGGGTTTTTGTTCTTACTGTTGACATTTGACATTTTCAAGACCAGTTTCCGGGTCCCCCCACCCTGTTTTTCTTCTTAGCAGGGAAAGGGGGGTCCAAGTCAGTCTGTCCAATCACCAATGACAGAGGCACACCAGAGAAAATGGACAAAAAGAGACTTTTTATTTTGTTTATAGGGTTGATAGCTGGCTTGAAAATCCCACTGATATTCAAAGAGTTCTGACTTTTTGAAAAAGATTGTGAAAAACGAAGGTATTCCCAATTCAACAGAGTGAGTGGTCCAGAATATCAAAAGTGAGGGCATTCCCAATGGCTTTGTCAGAGCCTGTCAGAGCTTTTGATTTCTGTCAGACTATTCATTCTGGGTGCCAGGCTTACCGGTTAGCTGTGGTTATCCCCAGGTCTTCCTTTCCTGACAACCCCCTCGCCCTGCCCTTCATACCACTGTGCCATCTTCCTTCCTTCGGTGCCAGAGCCATGCCATACTGACCAAAGAGAAATACTGGCCAGCGACCAAAAAAAAAAAAAAAAAAAAAAAAAAAAGGACTAGGTCCCCCCCCCCCCGCCCCAAAAAACAAAGTGGCAAGAAACCCGGGCTTTTTTTTTTTTATATATATAAAAAAAAAAAAATGGTTTATTTGGGGGGCAACAAGTTTGGTGGAT